GGAGTCTGAGGGTGGTGAGCCTGGGGAGGCTAAGCCTGGGGGTGCTGGGCCTGGGGGTGCTGAGCCTGGGGGTGCTGAGCCTGGGGGTGCTGAGCCTGGGGGTGCTGAGACTCGAGGTGCTGCGCCTGGGGGTGCTGAGCCTGGGAGTGCTGAGACTGGAGGTTCTTCGCCTGGAGGTTGTCCGGGTGCTTCGTCTCGCCGAGAGCCACTCTCCCCACAGGAGCTGCGTGAGTGGTTTGCCCGGCGCTGGAGGCGTGCTGCTGGTGCTGGAGGTTCTTCGGCTGCTGAGGGTGCTGCTGCCGCGCGTCCCGGAGGTGCTCGTACTGGGAGTACTGGAGCTGTTGGGCCTGCGGGTTCTCCTGGAGCTGGTGCTGCTGACCGTGTTGGCGCTGAGACTACAGCTGGCGGTCCGACTGGCAGGGCTCCTGGTGCTGCTGGAGGTTCTGGGGCTGCTGGAGGTGCTGCTGGGGGTTCTGGAGCTACTGGAGGTGCTGCTGGAGCGGGTACTCCTGCTGGGGGTACTGGTGCTGTCCCTTCTGTTTCTGGCGTCGCCACGCGACCCCGACCGTACTTCGTTCCACTTCTGCAGCAGGTTCTTGGTCTTACACCTTCTCCTGGTCCTCCTCCTCCTCCTCCCTTAGAGGGTCCACAGCCTGTCCAGTCACAGTCACAGCTACAGCCTGCCTCCCCTTTGCCTGCTCCTTCTCCCTACACTGGTCCGACTGGAGGTCTTACTGAGCGTCGTGAGCCTGCGTCACGTCCTGCGTCGCCTGTTCGTGCTGCGCGCACTAGTGGTCGTGGTTTGCGTCAGCGTCCTCCTCCTGTCCCTGGCACGCACCGGATGTCTCTGCGTCCATCCACTGCTCCTCTGCGTGCCCCTTTGCCTTCTCCTCCTGCTTCCTCTCTTCCTGCTCTTGCCGACCCGGAGTCGGACTCTCTTCGTGCTGCCAGTCCTACTGTCACGCGTCTCCTTGCTACTGCCGTCACTGACCCTTCTTTCGAGTCTTCTGCTGCGTCCGCCCTTGTTACTGAGCTCGTCGACTTTGCTGCGCGCTGTCGTCTAGACTACGCTGCTAGTCTTGTCGCTGAGTCTGAGTCTGCCTGTCCTCCGTCCGTCGGGGGTGAGTGTGCCCTTGGCACGGACGTCCTAGAGGACAGGCAGGAGGAGTTCCAGTGTCTGGCCGCCGCTTCACCTCATCTAGCGTCTGTACTGCTCACCCCTGAGGGAGACCCGGATGCACTAGACATCCCGACTCCGCGCTCTTACGCGGAGGCGATAGAGGGTCCCTACTCCTCTCAGTGGCAGGCAGCTATGGAAGCAGAGATGGCTTCCTGGAAGTCCACAGGCACCTACGTTGACGCTGTCCCCCCTCCTGGGGCGAACATCGTCAGTGGCATGTGGATCTTCAGGGTGAAGCGGCCGCCGGGTTCTCCGCCTGTCTTCAAGGCGCGTTACGTGGCTCGTGGCTTCAGTCAGCGGCAGGGAGTTGACTACTTTCAGACCTTCTCCCCCACCCCGAAGATGACCACTCTTCGGGTACTGCTGCACGTTGCTGCTCACCGCGACTACGAGCTGCACTCTCTCGACTTCAGCACTGCTTTCTTGCAGGGCAGCCTGCACGAGGAGATCTGGCTGCGTCGCCCACCTGGCTTCACTGGGTCTTTCCCTCCTGGTACCCAGTGGAGTCTCCGGCGTCCAGTCTACGGTCTCTGCCAGGCGCCGCGTGAGTGGCACGACACACTGAGGACTACGCTGGCGGCACTTCGGTTTGCTCCTTCCACTGCAGACCCGTCGCTGTTTCTGCGCACCGACACCTCTCTGCCGCCGTTCTACATCCTCGTGTACGTCGACGATTTGGTCTTTGCCATAGCTGACACTGCTGGACTCGCCTACGTGAAGTCCGAGCTGCAGAAGAGACACACGTGCACTGACCTGGGTGAACTGCGCAGCTACCTTGGCTTGCAGATCACCCGGGACAGAGCACGCCGCACCATCACCCTGACTCAGTCACACATGGTGCAGCAGGTCCTTCAGCGCTTCGGCTTCACGTACTCCTCGCCTCAGGCCACTCCTCTGCCTACTCACCACTCGCTCTCAGCTCTGCCTTCGGATGAGTCCGTAGAGTCGAGTGGCCCGTATGCAGAGCTTGTTGGCTGCCTCATGTACCTGATGACCTGCACACGACCTGACCTTGCATACCCTCTTAGCATTCTCGCACGCTATGTTGCTCCTGGGAGACACCGACCAGAGCACATGGCTGCAGCGAAGAGGGTGTTGCGCTACTTGTGCAGTACGTCGGGCATGGGGCTAGTGCTTGGAGGGCGCAGTCCAGTGGTCCTCACTGGGCACGCGGACGCTTCTTGGGCTGACGACCAGGCTACGCAGCGGTCGTCACAGGGTTACACCTTCAGCCTTGGTTCCGGCTCTGTTTCGTGGCGGGCTACCCGCTCGTCTTCTGTTCTCGGCTCCAGTTGTGAGGCTGAGATCTACGCCGGGGCTATGGCGGCCCAGGAGCTTCGCTGGCTCACCTACCTGCTGACCGACCTTGGAGAGCCGCCTCGTTCTCCTCTAGTCCTGTACGTAGACAACAAGGCCATGCTGGCCTTGTGTCGAGAGCAGCGACTGGAGCACAGGACAAAGCACATTGCTCTCCGCTACTTTCTTGCTCGTGAGCTACAGCAGCGTGGACAGTTGCGACTTGCGTACGTGGCCTCTGAGGCCAACACTGCTGATGTCTTCACCAAGGCACTTGCGCCTTGTGATCATCAGCGCTGCTGCACGCAGCTGGGTCTTGTGCCTCTCTTGCCTCACTTGCTCACTTCTTGACCTTGCTTGTACCTTTACCTATATATACTCTTGCTCTTGCTTGCTTGACTCTTGTATATCTCTATATGTGATCTTGCATGTGAACTGGCCTTCTGGCCTTTGAACTTGTGCTCGGAATGTGTGGTGACTTTGTGATCCACCCTGAGCTTTGCTTTGCTTTGCTTGACTGGTCTTGTGACCCCTTGTTCTCCCCCACTTTTCCTATGGGGGTGTGTTAGAACATTATAGCTTACTTATTTGTGTAGGCTATAGTGGGGTATCCCATAAGGGGTACAATCCCATTAGGGTTTCCTATTTGTACCCACTTCATTCATAGTCATTTCATTCTCGTTCTATTCTTCTCACGCGGCCCCTTCGCGGCCTCCTTCACGGCCCCTTAGCGGCCTCCCTTCGCGGCCCTTTCGCGGCCCCTTCACGGCCCCTTCGTGGCACCTTCGCGGCCCCTTCGCGGCCCCTTCGCGGCCCCTTCGCGGCACCTTCGCGGCCCCTTCGCGGCCCCTTCGCGGCCCCTTCGCGGCCCCTTCGCGGCCCCTTCGCGGCCCCTTCGCGGCCCCTTCGCGGCCCCTTCACGCCCCCTTCGCGGCCCCTTCGCGGCCCCTTCGCGGCCCCTTCACGGCCCCTTCGCGGCCCCTTCGCGGCCCCTTCACGGCCCCTTCGCGGCCCCCTCGCGACTCCCTTCGCGGCCCCTTCGCGGCCCCGCCCCGCTGCCCGTAGCGGCCCCGCCCTGTCGCCAGTCGCGGCCCCGCCCCATCGCCAGTCGCGGCCCCGCCCCGTCGCCTGTCGCGGCCCCGCCCCGTCGCCAGTCGCGGCCCCGCCGCGTCGCCCCCGCCTCGTCGCGACGCCCCTGCGAGACCCGCGAGGCGCGGCTCCTGCGCGTCGCGACGCCCCTGCGGGACCCGCGTGGCGTCACCCCTGCCCGCCGCGGCGCCCTGCCCTAACCCGCGCCCTGGAGCAGCCGCCACTGCAGCAGCCGCCCCTGGAGCAGCCGCCCCTGCAGCAGCCGCCCCTGGAGCAGACGCCCCTGAAGCAGCCGCCCCTGGAGCAGCCGCCACTGCAGCAGCCGCCCCTGGAGCAGCCACCCCTGCAACAGCCGCCCCTGCAGCAGCCGCACCTGGAGCAGCCGCCAATGTAGCAGCCGCCCCTGGAGCAGCCACCCCTGCAGAAGCCGCCCTTGGAGCAGCCGCCCCTGCAGCAGCCGCCCCTAGAGCAGCCGCCCCTGCAGCAGCCGCCCCTGGAGCAACCGCCCCTGCAGCAGCCGCCCCTGGAGCAGCCGCCACTGCAGCAGCCGCCCCTGGAGCAGCCACCCCTGCAGAAGCCGCCCCTGGAGCAGCCGCCCCTGCAGCAGCCGCCCCTGGAGCAGCCACCACTACAGCAGCCGCCCCTGGAGCAGCCGCCCCTGGAGCAGCAGCCGCCCCTGCAGCTGCCGTGGAGCCCTATAGTGGTAGCGGCCTCGCCATTGCCGCCGTCGTACGCCTGCCCTTCTCGCCACTGGTGAGCACTGCCCTGCCCATACTGCTGTTACTGCTGCTCTTGCTGCTACTGCTCTTTCTACTGCTACTGCTGCTCCTGGCGTGGCCAGATGCAGCTCCAGCGCCGTCCGCGTGAGTCCCTTGCCCCCCAACAGCTTCGTGAGTGGTACGCTAGTTGGGGTTGTAGGGGTGGCCGTACTGCGACTACTGCTATTGCTACTGCTGTTGCTACTGCGGCTACCACTGCTCCTGCTGCTCCTGGCGGTGGCCAGATGTAGCTCCAGCGACGTCCGCATGAGTCCCTCACGCCCCAGCAGCTTCCTGAGTGGTACGCTACTTGGGGTTGTCGGGGTGGCCGTAGTGGGAGTCGTCCTGGAGTGAGTAGTTCGGCAGCTGCTTGTCGTGGCCAGGTGCAGCTGCAGCGTCGTCCGTGCGCGGTCCTTTTGCCCCAGCAGCTTCGTGAGTGGTACGCTCAGCGTGACGGGTCACGCGGTACTGCTCGCTGTCCGTACTACATTCGCACTGGTGCTCGGACTGGTCAGCCTTGCGGGACGTTTGGTCACGCAGAGTCCCGCTGCTTCGCCCGTGTGAGCGACGCCTGGCGTACGGAGTTTGGCGACGCGGCTGAGCTCCCCGACTGGGTGGAGCTGCTTAGGCTGAGGGTAGATATCTATACTCTTGACTATGATGCTATCCTCACTGCCATGTATACATTGCCTACTAGTGATGAGGGTGACTGTTACCTGGGTGTTCCGCCTGACCCGGGCATTGAGACTGCTGCTCTAGGTGCTGGTGAGGCTGCTGCTCTAGGTGCTAGTGCGTCTGCTGCTCCAGGTGCTGGTGAGTCTGCTGCCCCAGGTACTGGTGCGTCTGCTCTCTCAGGTACCACGTCGGCTCAGGCCTTACACACCTTCACCCTTGACTCGGGTGCTTCCCGCTCCTTCTTTCGAGACCGCACCACGCTTACACCGCTTAGTCGGCCAGTTGCGGTCCCCCTGGCGGACCCCTCTGGGGGTCCTGTCCTTGCCCACTTCTCCACTGTCCTACCGTGTCCGGCGGCCCCTTCTGGCACCCTGTCACGTCTTTACCTCCCCTCGTTCTCTACAAACTTGGGAGTGGTGCTGATCTACAGGATGGGGGGGTTGACCAGTTCACTCCTGCGAGTCAGCGGGTGACACACTGTACGTGTGCTCGGACGGGCCGACACTTGGCCACGTTTACCCGTCAGCCGGGGTCGAGCCTGTACACGCTCACTACTGAGTCTCCTCCGGTTGCTGAGTCTGGTCAAGTAGCTGCGTCGGGTCAGGTGTTTGCTGCAGCGTCCAGGTCTGGTCCTGAGTCTGCTCCCTGCTTGTGTCGTCTCTTGTCCCACCGGACTCTCCTCTGGCACCACCGCCTTGGTCACCCTTCCCTGCCTCGTCTCCGAGGCATGGCCTCCCGTTACCTTGTCTCTGGTCTCCCCCGGTCCCTCCCTCCCCTCCCTCCGGGGCCTGCCCCTACCTGCGTTCCCTGCGTCGAGGGGCGGCAGCGCGCCGCCCCTCACTCCTCCGATTTTCCTCCGACAGAGGCTCCCCTGCAGACTCTTCACATGGACGTGTGGGGCCCCGCCCGCGTCTGTGGCCAGGGTCACGAGCGTTACTTCCTGTTGGTGGTTGATGACTACTCGCGTTACACCACGGTGTTCCCCTTGCGCAGCAAGGGTGACGTCACCGAGGTGTTGATCGACTGGATCCGCGCAGCTCGTTTCCAGCTCCGAGAGAGTTTCGGCTCGAACTTTCCTGTTCTGCGTCTGCACTCTGACAGAGGCGGGGAGTTTTCCGCTGGCCTTCTGGGAGCCTTCTGTCATGCATAGGGCATCCGCCAGACCTTCACGCTTCTGGCCTCTCCATAGCAAAATGGGATTGCTGAGCGCCGCATTGGCATGGTCATGGACGTCGCACGTACGTCCATGATCCATGCGGCTGCTCCCCATTTTCTGTGGCCGTTTGCGGTTCGGTACGCAGCGCATCAGATCAACCTTCAACCCCGGGTCTCCTTGCCAGAGACCTCCCCCACCTTGCAGTGGACGGGGAAGGTTGGCGATGCATCTGCGTTTCGTGTCTGGGGATCTCGGGCGTTTGTCCGCGACTTGTCTGCGGACAAGCTGTCCCCCCGTGCTGTTCCCTGCGTCTTCCTTGGCTTCCCCCCTGACGCGCCTTGTTGGTAGTTTTACCACCCCACCTCGCGCCATGTTTTGTCCTCCCTGGACGTCACCTTTGACGAGTCGGTTCCTTACTACCGTCTCTTCCTCTACCGCACTGCGCCCCTCCCCGCGCCGCCGCTCTTCCTTGCGCCAGGTCCCCCCTGGGTAGAACCTCTCCCCCCTCAGGGTCCTGCCCCGTCAGGTGTGTCCCAGGTAGACGCAGTCGAGCCTGTCGAGGTAGCTGTTGACTCTGGTGCTGCTAGGGGTGCTGAGCCTGGGGGTGCTGAGTCTGGGGTTGCTAAGCATGGGGGTGCTGAGGCTCGGGGTGCTGAGTCTGGGGGTGCTAAGCCTGGGGGTGCTGAGGCTCGGGGTGCTGAGCCTGGGGGTGCAGAGCCTGGAGGTGCGGAGCCTGGGGGTGCTGAGCCTAGGGGTGCGGAGCCTGGGGGTGCTGGGTCTGCTCGTGTGGCCTCTGGCGGGGCTGGATCTGGGGGCCCTTCGGTTGCTTCGTCTCGGCGGGAGCTACCCTCTCCACAGGAGCTGCGCGAGTGGTTTGCCCGGCGCTGGACCCGTGCTGCTGGAGCTGGAGGTGCTACTGTTGCTGCTGACCCTGGGGTCGGCGCTGGAGGTACTGGAGCCACTGGTCTTGGAGGTGCTCGTACTGGCGGTACTGGAGCTGCTGGGTCTGGAGGTGCTGCTGGGGCTGCTGGAGTTGGTGCTGCTGGAGGTACTGGAGCTGCTGGTACTGCTGGGGGGACTGGAGCTGCTGGGCCTGGAGGTGCTCCTGGTGCTGGAGCTACTGGCGGTGCTGGAGCTGGCGGTCCTGCTGAGGTAGGTGCTGCTGGGGCTGCTGGAGCTGGAGCTGCTGGGGGTGTTGGCGCAGGGGGTGCTGCTGGCGCTGGTGCTTCTGAGGGTGCTGGAGTTGGCGCTGCTGGAGCAGGAGGTGCTGCTGGCGCTGGTGCTGCCGCTGGGGGTACTGGTGCTGTCTGTGAGGATCTAGGATCGAGCTCAGAAAAGAGAATGTGAATTGAATTGAATGATCACCTGGGTACAACGCGAGGCTATATATAGGCTCGACACAAGGCCCAGTAACCAGGTGTTACGCGAAGGTTCCGCGGGTCGCGAAGCGTCCCATACAGATCCTTACCGAATTTGGTAGAAGGCAATTCGGTGGCAACCGAAAAGCCAGAATTCGGTGCACGCAACCTAGCTCGGTGCTATAACTATAATATAGGAAAGCACCTAGCCTAGAAAATCAAGCAATTCATGCATGCATATAATTATCCTATGCTAGAAATAGCATGATAAAGTAAAGGCAAGCAAGCATAGCTGGCATAAGCCGTCGTACTCTCACACTGTCCCTGCTGTTTCTGGAGGCGCTGCGCGGCTGCGGCCGTACTTCGTTCCGCTCCTTGAGCAGGTTCTTGGTCTTCCGCCTTCTACTAGTCCTGCTCCTCCCTTAGAGTGTCCACCGCCTGTCCAATCGCAGTCACAGTTACAGCCCGCCTCCCCCCTGCCTGCTCCTTTGTCAAACTCAGATGCTATAGTCTGTGTAGGCTGTAGTGGGGTAGACAATATGGGGTACAACACTTCTAGGTTTCCCTACTTGTACCCACCTGCTTGCTAGTTCATTCATTCCTCATTCTTCACATGGTATAGAGCAGGTTTCCTAGTGGGAACGCTTCCTTGGGCCCACCACTGAAATTTTCCTTTCTGACCGGAGCGCCAGTCGCTCCTGCCCGAGGCGCGCCTTTTTCGCCGCCCTTTCCATGCCCCTAGTGGCCCCTAGCGGCCTCGTTGCCGCCCCTCAAGCGGCCCCGTTGCCGCCCCTCGCGGCCCCGTCGCCACCCCTACGCGGCCCCGTCGCCGCCCCTAACGGCCCCGTCGCCGCCCCTAGCGGCCCCGTCGCCGCCCCTAGCGGCCCCGTCGCCGCCTCTCACCCTACGCGGCCCCGTCGCCGCCCCTACGCGGCCTCGTCGCCGCCTCTAGCGGCCCCGTCGCCGCCCCTATCGGCCCCGTTGCCGCCTCTCACCCTACGCGGCCCCGTCGCCGCCCATACGCGGCCCCGTCGCCGCCCCTAGCGGCCCCGTCGCCGCCTCTCACCCTACGCGGCCCCGTTGCCGCCCCTAAGCGGCCCCGCTGCCGCCCCTAAGCGGCCCCGTCGCCGCCCCTAAGCGGCCCTGTCGCCGCCTCTACGCGGCCCTTTCGCCGCCTCTACGCGGCCCCGTCGCCGCCCTCCCCTTCTTACGCGGCCCCGTCGCCACCACTATACGGCCCCGTCGCCGCTCCCCTCCCTAAGCGGCCCCGTCGCCGCCCCTAGCGGCCCCAACGCCGCCTCTATCGAGCGGCCCAGCAGCTGAGCCGCCCAACAGCAGAGCCGCCGAGCCGCCCAGCAGCCGAGCCGCCGAGCCACCGAGCCGCCCACCAACCGAGGCGCCGAGCCGCCCGATAGCCGAGCCGCCCAGCAGCCGAGCCACCGAGCCGCACAGCAGTCGAGCCGCCGAGCCACCGAGCCGCCGAGCAACCGAGCCGCCGAGCTGCCCGACAGCCGAGCCGCCCAGCAGCCGAGCCGCCGAGCCGCCCAGCAGCTGACCCGCCGAGTCGCCCGACAGCCGAGCCGCCCAGCAGCCGAGCCGCCGAGCCGCCCTGCCGTCGAGCCGCTCCTAGTCCTACCGGCGCGCCCCGGCCCTACTTACTCGGACTGGTGAGCTCACTCCTTGCTAGGCCACTGCAGTTATGGTTACCCCAAGTGTTCTTACCTTTGATACTGAGGGTCGTGCTGTTGACTTTGAGGTCTGGGTCGATGACCTCCAGCTGTTCCTCCAGTGCGATAAGGCAGACGGCCTCTCACTGTTCGACCTCACCTCTAGTGCCTCCCCTGCCCCGCCTGCTACTGCTGACAGCACTGTTCGCTCACAGTGGGCGACACGCGATGCTGCTGCCCGTCTTGCTGTGCATCGCCACTTACCGACCACTGAGCGTGCGCACTTTAGCCAGTACAAGAGTGCTCAGACCTTGTACGACGCTGTAGTTGCACACTATTCTTCCCCTGCCACTACTGCACTGAGCCGCCTCATGCTACCGTACCTCTTCCCTGACCTTGCTGCCTTTCCCACAGTCGCTGACCTCATTACGCACCTCCGCACTAGTGACACTCGTTACCGCGCTGCGCTTCCTGCTGAGTTCTGCGCCAAGAACCCCCCCCCCCCCCATGTACATCACCCTCTACTACATAGTCACCCGGCTCCCTGACTCTCTTCGCTTAGTCAGAGACCACTTCCTCTCAGTTTGCCCCACCACACTCACCGTTGACCTCCTCGAGGAGCGCCTCCTAGCCGCAGAGAAGAGCATAGTTGCTGTAGGAGCCTCTCGTGGTGACCCTCGCACCCTTGTCTTTAAGGGGTGTTCCCCCTCCCCCCTCTTGCCCTCTGTTGCTTCTGCTGCTGCTGCCGACCTCGTTGGTTTCTACGGGGTCGGCGCTGCGTCTGCCCCTAGCGGGGGACGCCGCACCGGCAAAGGCAAGGGGGGCAAGGGAGCTGGAGGGGCTAGCGGGGGCGGTGGAGGTGGTGGTGGAGGCAGTGGAGGGGGTGGGGGTGATGGTGGGAGTGGTGGCGGGGGTGGTGGCGGCGGTGGCAGCAGTGGAGGCGGAGGAGGCGGCGGTGGTGGCGGAGGGAGCGGAGGCGGCGGAGGTGGCGGAGGCGGCGGAGGTGGCGGAGGCAGCGGAGGCGGCGGCGGCGGCGGCGGTGGAGCTGGTCGTGACTCTGCGCAGAGGAGTGGGTCTGGTGGTGGTCCACGCCAGCAGCAGCAGCGCAGTCGTGAGACCCTGACCCCTCAGCAGCTTCGTGAGTGGTACGCTGCGCGTCAGCGCGGTGGGGGTACTAGCCCCTGCACTTACGTCCTCCGTACCGGCGACCGCGCTGGTGAGCAGTGCGGGGGCCCGCACTCCACCCAGCGCTGCTTCGGACGCCTGACGGACGCGTGGCGTCACCAGTTCCCTGAGGCGTCAGAGATCCGTCGCTGGGGAGATCTGTCTAGGGCGGGGGTTGCCATCTTTGATCTTGACTATGATGCTATTCTTGCTGCCATATATGCTGTGTCTGCTAGTGTTGAGGGTGACTGTTACCTGTGTGTTCCGCCTGACCCGGGCATTGAGACTGCTGCTCTAGGTGCTGGTGAGGCTGCTGCTCTAGGTGCTAGTGCGTCTGCTACCCCAGGTGCTAGTGCGTCTGCTGCCCCAGGTGCTGGTGAGTCTGCTCTCTCAGGTACTACGTCGGCTCAGGTCTTACACACCTTCACCCTTGACTCGGGTGCTTCCCGTTCCTTCTTTCGAGACCGCACCACGCTTACGCCGCTTAGTCGGCCGGTTGCAGTCTCCCTGGCGGACCCCTCTGGGGGTCCTGTCCTTGCTAGCTTCTCCACTATCTTACCGTGCCCGACAGCCCCCTCTGGCACCCTGTCAGGTCTCTACCTCCCCTCGTTCTCTACAAACTTGGTGAGTGGAGCTGAACTACAGGATAGGGGGGTTGACCAGTTCAATCCTACGAGTCAGCGGGTGACCCACTGCACGTGTGCTCGGACAGGCCGACACTTGGCCACGTTCACCCGTCGGCCAGGGTCGAGCCTGTACACACTTACTACTGAGTCTCCTCCGGCTGCTGAGTCTGGCCAGGTAACTGCGTCGAGTCAGGTGTTTGCTGCAGCGTCCACGTCTGGTCCTGAGTCTGCTCCCTGCTCGTGTCGTCTCTTGTCCCACCAGACTCTCCTTTGGCACCCCCGTCTTGGTCACCCCTCCCTGCCTCGTCTCCGGGGCATGGCCTCCCGTGTCCTTGTCTCTGGTCTCCCCCAGTCTCTCCCTCCTCTTCCTCCGGGACCTGCCCCTACCTGCGTCCCCTGCGTTGAGGGGCGACAGCGCGCCGCCCCTCACTCCTCCGAGTTTCCTCCGGCAGAGGCTCCGCTGCAGACTCTCAACATGGACGTGTGGGGCCCCGCCCGCGTCCGTGGACAGGGGCACGAGCGTTACTTCCTGTTGTTGGTTGACGACTACTCGCGTTACACCACAGTCTTCCCCTTGCGCAGCAAGGGTGACTTCACTGAGGTGTTGATCGACTGGATCCGCGCAGCTCGTCTCCAGCTCAGGCAGAGCTTCGGCTCGGACTTTCCTGTTCTGCGTCTGCACTCTGACAGAGGCGGGGAGTTTTCCTCTGCCCGTCTGGGAGCCTTCTGTCGTGCGCAGGGCATCCGCCAGACCTTCACGCTTCTTGCCTCTCCACAGCAAAATGGGATTGCTGAGCGCCGCATTGGCATGGTCATGGACGTCGCTCGTACGTCCATGATCCATGCGGCTGCCCCCCATTTTATGTGGCCGTTTGCGGTTCAGTACGCAGCGCATCAGCTCAACCTTCAGCCCCGAGTCTCCTTGCCCGAGACCTCCCCCACCTTGCGGTGGACGGGGAAGGTTGGCGATGCGTCTGCGTTTCGGGTCTGGGGATCTTGGGCGTTTGTCCGCGACTTGTCTGTGTACAAGCTGTCCCCCCGTGCTGTTCCCTGCGTCTTCCTTGGCTTCCCCCCTGACGCGCCTGGGTGGCAGTTTTACCACCCCACCTTGCGCCGTGTTCTGTCCTCCTAGGACGTCACCTTTGACGAGTCGGTACCTTACTACCGTCTCTTCCCCTACCGCACTGCGCCCCTCCCCCCGCCGCCGCTCTTCCTTGCGCCAGGTCCTCCCCCAGTAGACCCCCTCCCCCCTCAGGGTCCTGCCCCGTCAGGTGTGTCCCAGGTAGACGCAGTCGAGCCTGTCGAGGTAGCTGTTGACTCTGGTGCTGCTAGAGGTGCTGAGCCTGCGGGTGCCGGGTCTGGAGGTGCCGAGTCTGGGGGTGCTGAGCCTGGGGGTGCTGAGTCTGGGGGTGCTGAGCCTGAGGGTGCGGAGCCTGAGGGTGCTGAGCCTAGGGGTGCTGAGCCTGGGGGTGCGGAGCCTCGGGGTGCTGGGTCTACTCGTGTGGCCTCTCGCGGTGCTTCGTCGAGGCAGG